TAGTTATTTGTACTTCAGGTTGAAGTTACTAAACTAAAACGCAGGGGCGTAGCTAGAGTTTCCAGCGCCCGGGAACAATTGAAGAATTTGCGCCCCTTTCTGTGTGCCAAGAATGGAAAACGTTTCATTAAAAAATTTCGTAGCAGAAATTTGGCGCCCCTTGGATGCTGCACCCGGGGACAGATGTCCCCCCTTGTCCCACCATAGCTAAGCCACTGCTAAAACGTTAACAGAACCCAATTTTTGCAGGCTAATAATGCAATATAGTTTCAGTTATTAACAAAGGAAATATTAAATTAGAAATGAAGGAAGTCGTAGTCTTACGTGCTTTCTAATGTAACTACAAGCATAATCTAAACTCGCGACGATCACAACAGCACTACGACAGGAAGGATTCTGAGAGTTGTAGTATTCCTAACTGAAGGTGCCAACACTGTGTCACTAACCTTATCAGGACTTAACTCACTCACTCACTAACTTAACCTCACTAACCTTATCAGACTTATTTCTCTTGATTTGCTTTGGAAACATGAATGGTCCTGACTCGGAACAGAGAGCTTACTCAAGCTATGTTCAGGTAGGTGTGAAATAGACAACACAAGCAGGAAGGGAAACCCTTTATTTTCTAACTTTTACATGTATTTCCGAAACTTCGGAATACAGAGACCAACCACTTGTGGTCTGAACGTAAGAATATAAAAGCTACTAACTAAACTCTAACTAAAAACTAACTTTGAATTAGTATACAAATGCCTAAGCACTAAGATTGGCCTTTATTTAAAGAAAGGTACGTATGTAGTACGCCTAGCTGCTTAAACTACAATACGTTTGCAAATAACAAGAGGGCTAAAACTCTGGCCTTAAAGGCAACCAGCAACAGAGTGAAAACTCGTAAAACTATAGTGGCAAGCAGCTTGCTTCCTATAACTCCTTCCTCTCTCTCTCTTGCAAAAAGCCACAACTTAAGTACTTGGCGTTAGCAAGACAATTTGCATAAACAAGTTAAAGCATTTAATTCTGACCGGAAGTAGAAAATAAGAAGTGATAGTACAGTTTTAAAATAAAAATAAACGTTAGTAAAACTTAGGATCCTTACATACTTCCCGCCAGAGTTAATTAGTTTGAAACTGAGGTCTAAAACGACCTCGTTGAAAACTTTTAGCTCTAGATTCTAAATCTAACGCGAGGCCAATCTTTTACAAACATTCCTCACTAGAAACTATCTAATCTAGAAATTAAAAAGTCGTTTTTACATGATCAATTCCATGGACAATTACTTTTCATCTGTACTGCATCTATAAACAGGAGTTTCTTAGTTGAATCTGGTTCCTTCCAGAGATCTGGAAGGAAAAAAAAAAAAAAAAAAAAAAAAAAAAAAAAAAAAAAAAAAAAAAAAAAAAAAAAAAAAAAAAAAAAAAAAAAAAAAAAAAAAAAAAAAAAAAAAAATTCATTCATCCATTTTTAATTATCTCTCCCCGTGCTCTCTGACATGTGTTGTAAAGAGAACACCAAACACGTGCGTGTCTATGTACAAGTGTTCAACATTACCACCTGCAATCAAAACACTAACGTGTTAAAATTTAACATAACAAGACCTCAGAACACACCTTATAATCATCTCTGAACCCTGAGGCACTATTCTCAAAAGTGGCTAACTCTGAAGTGTGGCGTCAGAGAGCCTAATTACATTCATTCAACCTGTACTATGATTCTAAACTAATAAGTGGACTGTAACAAAAGAACTAACTAATTTATTTACAGTAATTAACTATTCAGATCTAATAAATGCTCTGGCATGTTGTTTAGCCGAATCCAGATGGCCAAGTGAGAGTTTCTCTCCCTATCCAATAGGTGGCGCTGTATTCTAACTTAACACAACCTTTAGCACATATTCACACTATTTTGCTCTTTTTACAGTCATACCAAAAAGTTAAAAATTTGGCATTACCATAATATTTTCACTTTTAACATATCACAGTATTTCTTAACTTTTAAGATAACAGTTCACATTGTACATAAGGACATATTAACATGCCGTTAATTTCACGCATTTTAAAACATACATTAGTAATACAATGTTTGTTAACTTCTATTTCTTTCCAAGCAAGTGCTAATTCTTTTACATTGAAATCTACATTTCAAAAGTCCTTCAGACTAAAACTTCTTTTCTTGACAGAATCTTTTAAATAAAATTTTATACAATAATTTTAAAATTTTCTTAAGGTACCTTTCTCAAAGATTACCAATGCTTTTACAATATTCAAGTATTTACACATACCTATTATACAATAATTTTAGTTTTACTCGCGAGTAATTGAAAAACATAGTAACAAAATATGTAAAACTCATTTCTCGCCTTTTTGGTGATAAAGGTAGGCCTCACATGAGGTAAAACTTCTTAAATTCTGCCACTTGTAGTAAGAACGAAAAATTAACTTAAAGTTTCAAAGTATCATAAAGTTTTACTTATCTTTATGATATTCCGACATCCTTTTTGCCGCCCAGTCCTGGAAAGTGGCGAAGACTACCGTCTGGTTTATCCTCCGTCTTGTGCGGGTTCGCTCTTCGGTTCCTTCCTCCGTGAGCTTTGTTTTTTTTCCAGTTCGGTCACCCTTGAAGAAATTCTTTTTAACATCTGCTTGTACTCCGGCCGTTTGATAGCAGCTGTTCTTGGCGGAATCGGGACAACTCTCTCCCGTTGTTGCCTGGATCTCTTTTTTCTTCGAGAACTGGTTTCATGGTCAGCTTAAGGGACGCTTGGTTAAAATCCAGCGTTGCTTCTGCCTCTGAAAGAAAATCGATCCCTAAAATGACATGTGCTTGTAGATTTTTTACGATTAAAAACATTATCTTTACCTGCTCGTTCTTAATACGAATATAGAGTGGTATTTTACCTATGCATTTGCATCGTTCTCCCTGCGCAGCTAACATTGTCGTATTATCCGAATTATATATTCTATATCTACGGAAGTATTTCCTAAAAAAATCTTCTCCCAGACAGGAACACTGCGCGCCTGTATCCAGGAGTGCGGTGGCTGGAATATTGTTGATCAAAACTTTAATCTTTGGAAGAATCAAATTTTTCACAATAACTGTATTTAGCTTGAAGTAAGAGGGATTTTCTTGGCCTTCGGATTTCCGCACCCTCCCGTCAGCAGAAATCCGTTTTAGTTTAAATCTTCTTTCTTCTTTTCCATGCCTTCCTTCTTTTTCCGTTGGCCTTCAGACTTTTTTTCTGGCTTATTATTGAACTGTCAACGTTCGCCGGTTTTTTTTGGATACTCGGGTTTCCTTGACCACTGATTCGACTTGCTTCCGTAGCCGTGCTCTTGCCTTTGATGTGTTCTTGGCGCACCAAATTTGCTTTATTGCTCGTACTGGCGTCTTCTTTCAATGTCCGCCTTTCTTCTACTTTCAAACTGGATTGAGAGCTCAAATAACTTTTCCAGTGTCGTCGGGTTCCTTAATTCAATAAAGTCTTGTACTTGGGGAAGTAACCTAGGCAAAATTACTTGGATTATTTCAGGATCCGGCCGGCTTCCATACAAGAGTTTAAAGACGTGAATTTTTCTTAAAATAAAGCTTGAAAGATTTTCGATTCGTTGCTGGTATATGCTGAAGAGTTTCGCTTCCAATTTGCACGATTTCTTACGACAGGGAAGGCTTTTACTAAGGCAGTCTTGAAATTTTCGTAAGTATAGGTGGGAGTTCCCGCTTGACCCAAGAGGTTTCTTCCTATACATTTGAACCAATTAAGCGCTTGGCCCCTCAAAGCGCTGGTAGCTAAGGTGACTTTCTGGAACTCATGGACTGGATATAGCATGAAGAGGTCATCCAATTTTTCCAAAAAACTGGTCACCGGTGAGTTTCCATCAAAAGTTGCTGCTGGTTTCATCGATGCGCGCATGGTTTGGACGATGTAACCAAATCCTTCCAGGGTGGCAGCTGGCATTTCGAGCCGCTGCTGCAGGCACCTCAAGTTTTTGAAACTCGGCCATGGTTATTCTTCTTCTTCGGGCGCCACTATCAGGACTTGTATTTCTCTTGATTTGCTTTAGAAACATGAATGGTCCTGAATAGGAACAGGGAGCTTACTCAAGCTATGTTCAGGAAGGTGTGAAATAGACAACACAAGCAGGAAGGGAAACCCTTTATTTTCTAACTTTTACATGTATTTCCGAAACTTCGGAATACAGAGACCAACCACTTGTGGTCTGAACGTAAGAATATAAAAGCTACTAACTAAAACTCTAACTAAAAACTAACTTTGAATTAGTATACAAATGCCTAGCGCTAAGATTGGCCTTTATTTAAAGAAAGGTACGTATGTAGTACGCCTAGCTGCTTAAACTGCAATACGTTTGCAAATAACAAGAGGGCTAAACCTCTGGCCTTAAAGGCAACCAGCAACAGAGTGAAAACTCGTAAAACTACAGTGGCAAGCAGCTTGCTTCCTATAACTCCTTCCTCTCTCTCTCTCTTGGCAAAAAGCCACAACTTAAGTACTTGACGTTAGCAAGACAATTTGCATTTTCAAGTTAAAGCATTTAGTTCTTTCCGGAAGTAGAAAATAAGAAGTGATAGTATAGTTTTAAAATAAAAATAAACTTTAGTAAAACTTAGGATCCTTACAACCTTACATTTTTTCTTACTATTTAATGGTATGTGCCTGTATTGTACATGTAGACAATTGAAATTAAAGATATTCATACTGATGATTATGTTCAATTTGTAATACTATTGTTTGAAATACTTCAAAATCTATGCATGTAATTTTTTTGGTCTTTTATGTATCTGTTATTATGTTTCTCTGCCTTTATATCTCTGTCTCTTTTTTTTCCACTAAATTTTCCCTCTGGGGTGACATTCAATTCTGCATGGTTCGACCTATGATGGATGTCATCGTGGCAGTGTACTGCTCCTGATTGCAACTGCTCTTCGCTATGCTGTTTTATTTCACAAGGAAGGTTCTTTGTTTAATATATATTTTATTGTTTCAGGACTTTTGATCGAAGTTACAGATTGACAGACACTGAACAAGGTCCCATTCAAAACGATACCATTGTAGTAGTGGATCCCAATAATGGAAAAGTATTGTATAGTTGGGGAGCAGGCAGGTAATAAATAAATCACTGCTATTTATTATTAGTTACTATTGCATATGATTAAAATATGTTACTTATTATAAATTTCAAAGTGTTTTTTCCCTTAGTATACTCATTGTTTTCTTTTCTTTCGAAAAACTGCCAAATATGGTCATTTTTATTATTAGTCAAAAGGGGCAATTTGCCTGAAGGACTATTATTTTTTCCCATTATTCTGACATAGATAAATCGAACTGAATATCTAAATGTATAACTGCATATTTAAATGTAGAGACATCCGATCTGATCGATCGATCAATTGATATAAACCTTACGATATGCCCAAAATCAACTAAAGGAAACAAATTCGTTGCAACTTAAGCACTAAAGACATGAAAAAAAATTATTGCAGCATGTTTTAATGAAGAAAAGTTCATGTATATTGCAGCTTTACATACTGCTACACATACTACATATAGTAGATATAAAAAAAACTGAATAAAAATATACTAACTTCGTGACAAATTTAATTGGCTTTTCTCTATAAGTTTCGAAACTTCAGTTATTTAGTTAGCGTCATAATTTGGAGCTAAAGTCTGGAACTGTGCCTCCTTCCCTTGACATTTTATGCTGAAGTTCACAAGCGTCTATTGCGAGTTCCATTCTGCATTTACAGGACAACATGACTATTTTTGAGAGGATATGGCTTTGGAGCTCCTAATTTTTAATACTCTATTTTCTCATCATTTGAAATTGTAGGTTCCATCAGTCCGAAATCCCTCACTTCCCACTTTAAACCTATTATATCTTCAATAATATGCACAATAGTTTGAAATTACCATTGCTGTTTTCCGTTAACTTGTATGCTATTTTTGATAAAATAATTTTTTAGCTGTCCTTTGACCTTTCATTCGGGACATATTAAGGCTAAAATTGTAATAATATTTCCTGTCGTCAATCTTCTACATAAATGCATACTTTGATTATCCTTTTTTTTTTTTTTGAGACAAAAGCCACAATTACTTCAATGTGTCTTTTACAAATTTTCGATATAGGCTTATAATATGATTTTTGACAACATATTTTATGTATTAAAATCTCTTGCCCCTTTTTTTTCTTCAAATTCAGTTTTCCTGTTTTATAAAAGTTCCCGGACCTCTTTTTCCTTATCGCTCTTTCTGCTTCAACAAAGCTGTAGTGTAGAGTCATTAGGATGTTTTTAATGCTGAAGATGTGAAAAATGTGCAATGCCCTCGCCGGGACTCAAACCTGGATTTCTCCGAGTGTGCTAACTGTTACACCACGAAAGCACGCTGGAAAGAAGGAGAATATATCTTAAAAAGCTCCTGAAGCAGAGGGATCTATATCTGATTTGGCCTTGAAATTGTTGCAGTTTTATTTAAAATGTGCTGCAATGCAAGACTGTTTTCTTGCCTAACTGCTGAATGTTTGTTTACAACTTGTTATAGCTCCTATACATAAATTTTAAGTTGTACTTCAGCATTATCTATACCAAGCATCATGACATTAGATTTCTACTTCATGAGATTAAGATAAATTAATTACAGTTATCATTTAAATTAATTACAGTTAAATCACTCAAGTTCTTCTCACATGAAAATTAATTTAATCTCAATATTTGGCTAGATGCTTAAAAGCCAGAAAAATCAGTTCTAGTTTATAATAAAATTAAATGAATAATTAATTATAAATTTTCCTATAATGTGCATCAAAAGATTGTTAGCAATTCACTGAAATTTAAATGACAGCATGCTTTAGAATTTACTTTTTTCTCTTTTGTGATCCGAATTTGATCTTTACAATTCAATAATAATTTGAAAAAAAAAAAAAAAAAAAAAAAACACTCTACAACTGTATTTATTTGTGCTACTTTAGGAATTCGTAATAATTTCTAGGAATTATTTAATTATATGTATTTGCAAAAGATTTATTTATTTAGTTATTTATTTTTGAAAACAAAAGGTTTTACATGCCGCATGGACTAACTGTGGATAAACATGGAAATACCTGGGTGACGGACGTAGGTTTGCATCAAGTAAGCAAAATAATATATTTTTTACAAATCTTGAAGTACAATAATTTAAATTCTTGATATACAAATCTCGTAAATGTTGCGACAAACTTCTAGGGGAGGTATGGCACATCATAAGGATTAAGAACTGCATAGGAATTAATGCCCGGAAATGTTAGGGGTAAGATGAGGTAGGAGATGGGAAAAGAAGCAAGAGTTATTAATTCGAAACATTTATTGGACATGAATACGAATGGTGCACGACAGCTTGAATGTTACAGCAGATGCTCGAAGTTTGCACCATCAGACGCCAAACATTCCTGACACCGACGGACCATTTGAATGCCGCGAATTATTTGATCATTCTGGAGCAAATTCTTCTCGACTTGCTTGAAGATGTTCCACCAAATGTGAGGCGCAACACGTGATTCCAACATGATAGAACGCATCTTCATTTTGGACTGGGTGTCACCGGATTTATCGAGCCTTGATTTCTTTTGTGAGGAGTCATCAAAAGTGTCGTGGATCACGATCCTGTTGTGTCTGAAATGGATCTCGTGGCAAGACTCGCCTGCGCAGTTGCTACAATCAAAGAAACTGCCGGTCGGTTTGAACATGTTCGGCAATCGATGGTCCGTCGGTGTCAGGCATGTTTGGCGTCTGATGGGGCAAATTTCGAGCATCTGTTGTATCATTCAAGCTGTCGTACACCATTTGTTTTCATATCCCATAAATGATTAAAATTAATCACTCTCTTGTTTCCTTTCCCATCTTCTACCTCTGCTACTACTTACCCCTGACATTTCCGGGTATAGGTTCCCATGCAATTCTTAATCTTTATCATGTGCCCTACCTCTCCTAGAAGTTTTTCGCAACGTTTAGGGTACACCCCCTGTATATATATATATATATATATATATAATTAATCAAGCAAAGCAGTAATAACAATTTTTAAAAAAAAACAATTTTGGTCTAGAAAACATCTTGCGCAATATGCTGCAAAATAAGTAAAATATAAAAATTGTAGTAAGCTCGCCTAAAAGTTACCAAGAGCTAATGCTCCAAAAGGTTTAACACGTTTTCAAAAAATTAATACGCATGAAAATCAAATCATTAGACATGTAAAACATTAATAAAATTAAAAAACAGAAAAAGTTAAAAAGTAAGCGGAAAATGGTAAATTAGCCCAATTCGACTTCCAAACAGGCTTTTCAAGGGACATTTCATTTATTTGAACGTCGAATCAAGCTAACCCCATTACGCGTTTCGCCGAAACAGACAATTGAAACGTTTTCGCTAAAAATGTTTTTAAAATTTAGACAAAGTGTCTTGGAAATTTTAATAGTCTCAATTTCTCTGTTCCAATTTCCCGACGCGTCCGCACAGAATGACACATTAAGGTGTTAAAATATGTAAATCAAAACCTAAACTTCCTAAATCTAGACTAAAATTAAAATCAAAAACGAAAATAAATAGCGATGAGCTATTAGTCCTAAAAATACAAAAAAACATACGGGCTGGGCCTGCAAGCTTAAAGATTAACTATTTAATTTTAAATAATAGATTTTAGAAAACTGTAATGAAAACCTGTAATTAATATAAAATAAAACAAAAATTAAGAAGAGAACAAACTCAGTGGGTCTTGCCTAAGACCAAGAAAAAGTTGTAACAAAAGAAACAAAAACTGACCTTTGGCGATGCAAAGCTGTCCCTCTTAAAACTTGTTGAAAAATGGCTGCTATACTTCTAGTGTCTTCATTTGGATGACGTACGTAGGGGGGAGCGAAGTGCTGTGGGCGTTTAGCCAATGCGAAGAGATTTTCGTTATCTGCAACTCGTCTCCTATTATCGAAGGGGGCCAGAAACCTCGGAAACCGTGTAAAGATCTCAAAAATGGCGCTTGGCTTGTAGTAGGATGGAAAAAAAATTTTTTTCGAAGTGAAAATGGCTAATTCTGCTAAAACTATAAAAATTTGGACATTAAAGCAAGAGAAAAAGGAAAAAACAGTCATTTGTTAAAAAAGTCGTAATTCTTCAAGCTAGCGGGGGATCAAGCTACTATGAAAAATGAAAAAAGCCCGATTTGTTAATAAAAGCAGTAAAATTGGCCATTACAGAAATTTAAAATTATGTACTCAATAGTATTTAAGATTAAAGTGCCAAAATTTTTTTGGAGGAAAGAGAATGAATAAACAAGAATTATCTGTACATTTTTACAATAGATTCTCTGAATTAGTCATCCTTCTTAAACCGTCCGTAGCTTTAGGTATAAAAAATCATTATCTAATTCAAAAAATCTAAAAATAGGTAAGGCTAATGCCAGCTTTGGTAAGGGAATTTTTAATTATTTTATGTGGTATTTGGTTACTTTTTAAAATGGTTGCGAAGTATAGTATTTCTTCTTGTAAGTGTTCCGCAGTATTGCAAATTCTTTTTATTCTAAGTAGCTGTGAATAAATTGCGTTGATTATGACTCTTTTGGAAATATTTGAATTCCAGTTAGTTAATTTAAGTGTGGAAAAATTAAATTCTCTTCTTTTGTCGTAAACTTTAATAAAATGGTAATCTATAATATGTAAATCAAGGTAGACTACATTATGCTGTTCTGTATTGGTTTTATTTAGTTTTAAGCAAGCAGGGTAGATATTAGCGATTTCTATTTTGTTGTAGTTATTAAACGCAATGACATCATCAATATATCTATAGATGTGTTGGAAAAAGAGACTTTCTTCCGTACTGAGTGAACGTACATAGGTCAGTTCTTTAGTAAACAGGAATAATTCACAAACTGAAGTTGAAAAATTCCCGCCCATAGGTATTCCCTGAACTTGTTTATAGATGTAATTGTCAAATTGAATAAAATTATTGAAGAGTACGCTGGTAAGGAATAGCTGCCATTTTTCGTTGCTGAGAATGGTAGAAATTTGTGGAAATAAATCTGGAAGAGCAAGTAAACTTGTAAAAATTTCTTCGAGTGGTAGAGATGTATAAAGGTTTTCAAAGTCGTAGCATTGGATATGTTCTATTTTAAGTGACTTCAGAGTTTTAAGAACTAGTTCATTACTAGAGATCATCCAGTTGCAATGCAAACCCTCAAAATCATAGTATTGATTAGGTCACGAATCATACGAAGTTTTTGTGCAAAGAGATAATCTATTTCTTTGAGATAACTTTTTGTACTATTAGCTATGAACCTGAATTTAATTGGAGACTTATGAAATTTCGGTAAGGCATAGAGATTTGCAAACCTGTTGTTATATTTCTGGGGTTGTATTTTTAGTCTTTTATGGAGTGCTTTAAATTTATTGAGAAGAATCTGAGTACTGGTAGTTATTTTTTGGTAAGTGCAGGTGTTATTTAACTCTTTATGCAGAAGGTTGTAGTAGAATTGTTGTCAAATAATACTAAAATTGTTGCTTGCTTTGTCTATCTTCGTGATGATAAAGTGATGTTGCAATTTTTGAATTAGATCCTCCAGGCGTTTTTTATTGTGTAAAGAGTTGAAATAAGGTGCCTTGAACAGCAAACATTGAAATTCTTTAATAAGTGCAGCTTTCCATTCAAGAAAAGTTGTAGTGGGTAAATTGGATCTATTACTAGCAATAATAATAAATTTATCAAGATCATTATTGAATTGTTTGAGGCAGACGTGTCTATTAAGACTGAAAGTAGGACGAAATTTGGTGCCAAGTTGCATAAAGTTACGTAATTCAATATCTTCTACAATATTAAGATCTCCTGTGACAATATGTTGGTGGAAAGGATCGACATATTTTTTGTAGACAGGCATTTGGCAGTTACATGTGCTATGATCTTGTATAACGTGGTAGGTAACGATAATAGGAGACGAGTTGCGGATAACGAAAATCTCTTCGCATTGGCTAAACGCCCACAGCACTTCGCTCCCCCCTACGTACGTCATCAAATGAAGACACTAGAAGTATAGCAGCCATTTTTCAACAAGTTTTAAGAGGGACAGCTTTGCATCGCCAAAGGTCAGTTTTTGTTTCTTTTGTTACAACTTTTTCTTGGTCTTAGCAAGACCCACTGAGTTTGTTCTCTTCTTAATTTTTGTTTTATTTTATATTAATTACAGGTTTTCATTACAGTTTTCTAAAATCTATTATTTAAAAATTAAATAGTTAATCTTTAAGCTTGCAGGCCCAGCCCGTATGTTTTTGTATTTTTAGGACTAATAGCTCATCGCTATTTATTTTCGTTTTTGATTTTAATTTTAGTCTAGATTTAGGAAGTTTAGGTTTTGATTTACATATTTTAACACCTTAATGTGTCATTCTGTGCGGACGCGTCGGGAAATTGGAACAGAGAATTGAGACTATTAAAATTTCCAAGACACTTTGTCTAAATTTTAAAAACATTTTTAGCGAAAACGTTTCAATTGTCTGTTTCGGCGAAACGCGTAATGGGGTTAGCTTGATTCGACGTTCAAATAAATGAAATGTCCCTTGAAAATCCTGTTTGGAAGTCGAATTGGGCTAATTTACCATTTTCCGCTTACTTTTTAACTTTTTCTGTTTTTTAATTTTATTAATGTTTTACATGTCTAATGATTTGATTTTCATGTGTATTAATTTTTTGAAAACGTGTTAAACCTTTTGGAGCAGCAGCTCTTGGTAACTTTTAGGCGAGCTTACTACAATTTATATATATATATATATATATATATATGATGATTATTTACGAGTCGATGTCGATGGCATGAAATAAAGCAACATTAAAAGCAGTTGTCGAGGCCGATTGAATATATTTTATTTCTTGAGAAGCATAAATACAAAGCTTAAATTACAAAATGGCGAATCTCACCCTCTTTTCATCACATATGTACGTTTTCTACTCGTACATCGTTATCACGATACAAGTGATGAAAAGAGGTAAGTAGCAGCATGTTTGCACGACAGTAAGCAAAAGCAGGAATGAGACGAGTCTAAGATGAAAGATTGTCGCAGAATAATTTAGTGTTATCTCTGTTAATTAATAAAAAGTTTCGGTTCCCGAATCTAAAATCATGAAGGGGCATGTAAATATTTGCATCATCAGAGTTATGCAAGAATCATAAAACATGGATTAACTTTGAAAACAGCAGAGCGATTTGTTATATAAGGAATTACTATGTTTAGGATGAAAGGGGGAATAATCAAATTAAAAATGGAGAGTTAAGGGATTATTGCAAATTAAAGTTATTACTTTATCTTACCTATTTTATCTCTTTCTCTCTCACACACATACACGCACGACACGAAGACACACAAATATTGTGTATATATTTGTGTGTGTGAGTATACTATCATGAAATTATAATTTTCTCTTAAAATTCATACTTTTTTTGTTAAAATTTTTAACAGTACATATAATATTTGCAGCTAATGAGAAATGAGGAATTGACTTTATTTTCAAATACAGAACAAACAAATATATTTGGTTAGAATTTTGTTCCAACTTTTATTATTACTTATTATTAAAAAGTATTATTGATTTAGAACAAATTAACTAGGAATTAACTTTTATGTACATTAAAGCTAATTTAAATATAGATCTTTTATTTGTGGTTTGTCCTATTAATCGGGGTTTCATTTATAAAGTTAGAAGTGTCCGAGACCTATGGTAGGTCGTTAGGAACGGTGATAAAAATCAATGTGTGAGGTTCTACGGTATCTAGAAGCTTGTGTCAAAGTCTTGCAGACCTTACTAGATTGATAACAAGTAATCTCTCTGTCTGAAATAAATCACAGAGTTTAAGAAAGACTAAAGTAACCTTTGTTTATTTAAATCTTAAATAACTTAAAAAGCTTTCCTCTACTTGCGAATATTTATATTAACATAACAGCAAAGTTAAATTTCAGTACAGCTAACGTAGTCAGAGAAACATACGTAAAATGGGCTGCTCTGATACTTAACGGCCCACCAGCGGCCGAGCGGTAAAGTCGCTGAACACTGGTAGTTCGATCCGAGGTTCGAAACCCGCGAATGGGCTGGCTGCATGGGTGTTTTCGTGGTTGTCCCCATGTATAACGTGTATACGAGCCAGTTTCCCTTAGAAAGTCCTCCACGAAGGCATCTCTTCCCTTAGGCAGATAGCCCTAGTGTGCTTTGCCGTAATTAAATACACCACACCACACTTGATACTTAACGGCGACTGATCTTTAACGGCGCTTAATACTAGACCGCTCATATATTTAACGGTGCGTAATTTAAAACGACGGCTAGCAAGTCGCTAAAGTCGGAATACAACTAGCTGACGATAGAATGTAACGGGAAGACGTGGGTGCCAGAAGCTCTAATCCAAACATTCAAAACGCTTACCTTAAATTCACAAAACAGCTAATTTGCATTGTGGGAAGAACTGCGGAAAGGAAGAGTTATAGTAAAGGCTTAAATAATTATTGATTAATTAACATAAAATACAGTACAAATAAATAAATTAACATAACAGCAAAGTTAAATTTCAATACAGTTAACGGAGTCAGAGACGACACATACTTAAAATGAGTTACTTAAGCCTGCTCAGATATTTAACGGCATGTAATTTAAAACATCGACTAGCAAGTCGCTAAAGCCGGAATACAACTTAAACAGAACTGACGATAGAACGTGACAGCGAGACTTAAATGTCAGAAGCTCTCCAAGCATTCAAAACCCTCAGCTTAAGTTCACAATTTGCTTTTTGGGGAGAACTACAGAAAGGAGGAGTTATAGTAAAGACATAAATCATAATATTTGATTAATTAAAATTTAATGCCTTACAAATAAATAAATAATTAATAACTAAAATTAAATAAAATGTAAAGTTATAAATGAAAACTAGTAAATTAAATTAATGAAAAATAGTTAATTAATTAATTAAAATTCTCAAACTCACCTTATTTTGGACTTAGTTTGGAATTACAACTTCACTTGAAAACTGAGTAGGCGGGTACCAGCAGACTCGCTAAAGTTAAGGTCTACTAAAGACATCTTTAATTCTGCCTACTTCGAAATGCATTTAAATCGCACTGTATGTCATTGCGTGCAAGGTTACTTGAAACTAAACAAAAAATGTATAAGCTGCCGTCTTTAGGCATTCTCTGACTTCTGTTTTCAGGTGTTCAAATTTCCTGCTCGTGAATTAAATCCAGAATTGGAACTTGGAGAACCTTTTGTTCCTGGAGCAGGAAAAAATCATCTTTGTCAACCTTCAGACGTAGCAGTGACATCCAATGGATATTTCTTTGTTAGTGATGGATATTGTAACTCCAGACTACTCATGTTTTCGCGCAATGGTCGACTCTTGAAAGAAATTGGATCGAAAGGTAATATTATTGAAAAACCTAGAAATATGCATAGATACTAGCTTGACTCTTGCGAGTAATTCACGTGTTTCAATTGTAAATGTTTGTTTTTATTTATTTTAATAGTGGTCTATTTTGTTCCTCATGTGATCCTTAGGGAAAAAAGGATCTTAATTAATTAACTCTAATTAATTAATTAACTTTAATTAATTAATTAACTATTTGTCGTCGTTCATAACTACACCGCAACAAGTTACCCAGATTCACTAAAATGAATCTGGGTAACTTATTGCGGTGTAGTTGTGGAATTAATTATTTTTACGTATTTGAATTATACGATGTGACTTATTATTTTACTGGATCTGGTGACTGAATTTTTACTTTTGCGGATTATCCTTTCCTGGTGTTGTGTGGCGTTATGTATTTGTATTTCAATGAAAGGAGTTTGTGGCTGTGTGTAGAGTTTAGGAATCAATGTATTGAGATTTATGCAGGGAAGACAGAGAATATAATTTTATTTAAAAAAGAAATAGTGTTTTTAGAATTTGAAAATGAATTGTATTTTCACATTTTACTGAAAAATAATATTTTTTGATTTTATACCCAAACACCATCAGTGAGGATATTCTCTCAAAGGAATTTGACTTAAAACATTGAGCTTTGAAGTAATACAATTTACTTACAAAGATGAAGATTTATGTAATTTAGTTTAACTTCAATAGTTCATAGATTTCAGGGCTTAAGTGAGTTGATTTTTAACATATTTGTTACTCTTGCTCTCAAAGATGTTCAACAGTGAGGCTCAAATCAACAGTCAAAACTTCTTAAAATAATCTATTTTTTCCCTATGTAACAGAACTATACAGATTGAAAATGCTTATTAACTATACTAAGTTTTTTTCAGACGTAAACTTGCATGTTTTGAAAGATATCGTAATTTTAAAACTTGTAGAGTAATTAGGGTTTTCTGAAGCAGGAGCCATGAAAAATGCGCTGTGCCTTTGCAGGAACTCGAACCCTGGCCCTCTCTAATAAGCTTCGAGTATGCTCCCAATTACACCACAAACGCATGCGCAAAGAAGGGAGAAAATAGCTTATATACACCCTCCTTTTAAAGGGTGACCGAAGATTAGGAGACCTAAATCGCCAAATCCTGGTGGTGACGAATTATTGTCCACCACCTTTTAGTTTGGGCGCCACTGTTGTTGTCCACCACTTAGGCTAGCTCATCTGTTAGAAAAGCTTAAGAATGGGCAATAGTAATTAAAATTAAGATATGCACAAAAAAGTTTCGTTATGTATGTTTCAGTAAAATAGCACTAAGTATGCGATAGTAAAATGCGATTCTAGTGTCATATTTGTACAGAAAAATGAGCCAAAACAGAAAAACCAATGTAAAAAGTGTAAGCTACTATATGATAATCTAAATTTTCACACAAAACTTTAGTAATACAATAAAGATCCTTGGTTTACATACCTTGCCTAACTCATTCAATAATTAATGCATATAATTAAGTACTCGTATTTCAATATCAACTTCATTAAAAATAATAAGTAATCCTTTTTGCCCAACCACATTACATTAGTACTCGTCGAAAAATTCAAAGATGAATCATGCAAGAACGTTTCTAAATTTAAGTATGGTATTTTATTAGCACTAATATTCATATGATAAAACATCTACATCAACAAAGCTTTGAAAAGAATTTTAAATTATAATCAGAAAACAAGTTTTCAAAAATACATTTTGAATAAAATAGAAAAAATATGTTTATGCATCTGCTGTAAACACATTCAAACTATCAAGCCTGAAATAATCGCTTTTCGGTTTCTAAGCACATTGCTTTTTATGATAAAAGTAAAATTGGGGAATCGAGTTCATGCATTTAGTTTATTCTCACCGGAGAAACTCCATTTCAGAACTATTCAAGCATCAGTAAAAATAACAATAACAACTGCAGCGCCGAAGTATCGAAGTTCATTCAAACGTTAGACTCAATTACAGTGCATGGCTCTATTGGCATTTAATTTGCAGATTATTTCGTACTCACATGCAATGCTGTATTCAGTTTCTTTTCTTTTATATACTATATAAGCGGCTAAAGTGTGTGTCGCCGATAGTTTATTGTTGCCACTCGAAAAAATGAGCGCGGAAATTAACGTTTCCGCAGTTTTTAATTAATATCTCAACCGATTAAAGTCGTACGAAGATGAGAACTGTATCGATGGATTCGGAGAATTTTTTGGGATCCGAGGATAGGCGTCTCGAATTTCAACTCGGCGCCGTTCCGTAGATATTCGAGAAAAACGAATTTGGCATGTAGCCAAATCCCTCTAATAGGAAAAACCCAAGAAAGAAAGTGGAAAATGTAGGGAAAACATAGGGGAAAATTAGTTTTTAATTAATATCTCGGCTAATTAAAGTCCCAAGAAGACGCGAATGGTCAAAATGGCGTGCCACGGACCTGCGGAATCCAACGGTGTGCTTCGCTAAGCCCGGGAGCCAACCGTTTCGGAGGAGATGATGTTACTTCACCCCATATATATATATATATATGCGGCTTAAGTGTCTGTTTGTCGCCGATAGTTTTTTGGTTACTTGCGTAACTGTACTAGCCAATGGGGTGAACTTGCCATGGCACAGGGTTGCCGTTTCAATTGAGACGTAGACAATTTCCTGTAAAACTTGCCTTTGCTATGACCATCAATAAGTCTCAGGGCTAAACGCTTAAGCGTGTTAGCATTTTTTTTTTACCTGAACCTGCATTTGGACACGGTCAACTTTATGTTGCCTGTTCAAGAGTTCGTGAAAGAACGGACGTAAAATTTAAAATATTGGATGGTTCTCTGCAAGGCGAACTTAAAAATGATAGAAAGATCTACACAAGAAATGTTGTGTACAAAGAGATCTTTGACATGTGAATTAACATTTCATGATTTAAATCACCTTTATTGATTGAGCTAGCGGTGGGCTCTTAAGAAATGTACCGCCAGTGGTTTCCTTCATTGTACTCTACTTTAAGCAATTAAGCAAGTAGAAGAGAAAAACCCACTGGGGCAGTAAGCAAAGGGGGCGTCCTCGCTGCCTACCCTGAGTAATTCAGTTTAAATTAGCAGACGCCTTTGCACAAATCATTTTAATTAAAATTTATAATATCTAGAACAGCGGTCATTTTGTATGACCGCCGGGCTTTCTAGTTTCATTATAAACATCTTAAACAGTACAATATATTAAAAATATTATTTATTGCATTACTGCAGCGTACCATCCGTCAAGACTATAACACAATCGTCTCATAACAACGTAAACAAAAACAGCTCCCGTGTCATATTTCGTAAGTGCACATTAGTATTGCCACCGAGGGAATGACTTCTAGAATGGACCAATGGGCTTCCATTAATATTTCTGTCATTTCACATGACCTTTATGGTGCTTTAAACAAGATGGTTGAAAATACTTTGCCACGCAATTTTCTGTACAAAATAATTAAAACATCGTGTATTTCTTGTGAAAATTTTCAGTGCGAAGTTAGGTCAGATATAAGTATAATTATATATGTAAATCCAAAAAGTCTTAGCAATTTTGATTGTAGTCTATTTGAAAAAGATGTTCTGTAATAATAGCCAACACACAGTTTTATTCAAAGTGAACTTTTCTATTTGCATTCCTAATGTATATTAAATTTTACATTTATAACTGTTCATTCTTAAATGCATTGCCTGCACAAGAAATACTTTTCAAACAGAATGAATTCATATTATTCGCAACGAATATATTTAATTTATTCATCTATAACTTTTCTTGTTAACAATAGGTATAATCAGATCATTCACAATATATATTTTGAATCTTACACTTTCTAAATCAAAGGAGTGCAAAAATTGAAATAAGAAAATACTAGATTCATTGTAACACTTCTAGTTATTCTTAGTCCTATAAAAAAATTATACACTTGAGTTTTCTTAATCCACAGGTGTTGGTAAATGCATTATTTCAAGGCTAATTGTAACTTGAGTCATTTGCTCGTCGTAAAGAGCGATAATATCCCACGAATCCGAATATCAGTGCGTTCTAAGTTTCGCGAAAATAAAATATTGACGATTAAATAAACTTATAAAATAAAAGCACTACGAGATTTTCAATTAAAATAATAGCAATATTTATACACCATACATTTCTTACTGCGAAACAAATGTAAAATAAAACATAAACAACAACATTCGTTCATATACACATTTTCAAAGATTAAACGTCACAAAAGCAATAGAAGCCTATTGATCCATTTTGATACCCCTCCCTCAGTGGCGATACTGATGTGCACTTGTGAATTATGCTGCCCGTGTTGTCTATTGGCAAGTTCTATTTCTGAAAAGGGGAAGGGGAATTTTTTTTTTTTCCTTACTTAAAGCGTTAACAAGGAAACAAATGATTTTACTCTCAGAAAATTTTGCAGTTCAGTGATAAAATTGAAACTATCACGCTTAAGAGACTGATCGGCAATTTTTGATCCGAAAAGCAATGAAGAAAAGGTGATCACTATCCAAAAGCGAAAACCTGTCACAGAAAGTATTTACACAAAATGCGCCATTATAGTATAATACAGCGTTTTTAATTCGTTTGTTTACCTATTTTAATAAATTGTGCTCTTAACCCTTGCCTGACTCCCACATCTGAAAATGACCAGTATATCTTAGAACTTAAGCACATATAAACGTTGAACATTTAGCTCACATGACCACTTCTTCAACCGACCAAAAGCGTCTGGAATCATGTCGTCTTAGAGAGTTTTCATTATGCATACAGACAAGCCAACACTCTTGTGGCGATCACGTTTCTAAGATGACGAACTTTAAAGATGACCAATATTGCTGAGAACATAAATACTAGTATTGAATATCACATCTCTAAAGCGACGTTCCACAAAGTCCTAAATCGTAGACAATTTTGTTCTCTGTGAAAGTGGTCGCGTTAGAGAGATAGTGTTCGATATCAGTGTTTATTTGTGCCCTCAAAAATTTTG